TTCTTTCTCCTCCTCATCCTTGTCGTCATCTGGGCGACTACTGGATGGCTTGAGGTAGTTGCACCTTCGGGCGTCCTTTTGGTTGCCCTGTATCCTTTCGGGGAAGCCAGCGTCTGAGACGTAAATCATCAGCTGATGATAAGTTGAAACGACCCCTTGGATCTCATGAATTATGGGTCTCCCTAAAATCACGTTGTACACTGAAGGAGCGTCAATGACCAAAAATTCAATCATGACGTTCCTGGCTGCCTCATCGCAGCCGATGGTGATAGGAAGTGTCACCTTCCCATCTGGATAAGTTGAAGCCCCGTTGAACCCGGATACCGGGTAGGGTACCGGCGTAAGGTGCTTGGGCTTCAGCTTGATTTGATTGTAGGCCTTTCGGAACAGAATGTTTGCTCCGCTGCCACCGTCAACAAGCACCTTACTGACGTCGTGGTTGGCAACCGTGGCGATGATCACCAACGGATCCTCGTGAGGGAACGTTACCCCCCGGCAGTCGGCGGCTGTGAACGTCATGTTCGGCACCGGCGATTGGGGAGACTGAATGTCAGCGTTGTTCACCTGGTGAGTCAAAGCCCTAAGGTGTCGCTTGTGCTCCCTCCGAGAGCATATTCCTCCCGAGATAACATTGATCGGAGTGAATTTCCCCTCTGGCTTTTTACTGTTCTTCCGGGGGAAGTCGAGGTCTTGCCGAGAGTCCTTTGCTGACTTCTCGGACAATTTTTCTCGCGGTGATCCGCGATGTATTTTTTCAATACTCCTCAGTGTTGTGTCCCGGAGATTCGTGGAACTCGCACAACTGAATATTATTTTTTCGCTGATACCACTCTGGGAGTGGTCTCGGCTTTCGGTAATTCTGCTCCTCCTTCGTCACGCTTTAAATTTTGGCGCGTGGAAGAGAGAGCGGAGTGTAGGACTCGTATCTGCCTGTGTTGGAGGCAGATTTTTCCTTCTTTGGGTCGCTGGCCGAAGATTGCTTCGAGGCCTTTGACTTTCCCTTTGCCTTATGGCCTTGGCCTTCAGACAAGGGTATTTGTTTTTGTTTCCCTCCCCCGAATTGAGGTTGGGTTTTCGCTTTGTTCCTCCAAGGTCTGCGGGGTATGCATGACCATGAAGTCTAGGAACTTCCCGGGCCGAAGGCCATTCTGCATTGCAAAAACGGCTAGCCCCTGGTCCAGCTGAGAGACGCTGGATGACTCGTTACTCCATGACCCCACCATCATCAATTTGAAACTTTCACAGCACGGATGCAATCAAGAACTGAAACGGGTCAGATAGTCTCGGAGGCTTTCGGTTTCCCCCTGTTGCAAACTCATGAGTTCTGCAGTAGTCTTCTCTCGGCGGTTTGCCGTGGAAAACTTGCTCCTAAATTTGGAGGACAGATCATCCCACCCTGTTATGGAGCTTTGCTTTACTCCCTTGGAGATCCACGCTTGCGCGACCCCCTTGAGAGTGGTTGGGAAATATTTACACCAAGTCGCTTCGGATCTGGGGCAAAGATGCATATGAGTCTCATACGAGGCCACGTGGTCCTTCGGATCCGAGGTCCCGTCATATGTGATGTGCGACGGTATTTTAACCGTGGGCACGTGCTCTTCCAGTATCCATTGCTCGAATGGCGAACTGGCGGGTAGCATAACAGCCTTGCCCTTGTTCCTGGCCGAAGGGACCGCGCTCCGCCCTCTTAGAGAGGTAGGAGTGGTTTTCGTCCCTGGCTGGGAAGTCTGGGCCTCGGGCGCATGGAACGAGAGGCGACTGTGCACGCTCGGTTCCTTGCCGCCGAGTCGGTCGAGGACGCTTCGGCGAACAGTCTCAGGTTGTTCTCGGTGAGTAGATTCTGGCCGAGAAGCTGAGCTGCTGCTCTTATGCGTTTCTGGTCGGGAGGTTGAGGATCCTTTGAAAAATTGAGGGTTCTTTTTCCTCTCTTTTTCAGTTTTTCAGGTATCCTCTTCCCACTCTTCCAGTTCCCGGAAGGAAGGAAGCTTCCCACCATCATGGTCTAGCTTCCTCCGGTGATACCGGGTATGCGAGAAGTTCGATCACGAGGTGGTGGGATATTTTGTGCCCTCATTGCCTCCATGAGCACTGCCAGCGCTCTTGCCACCTCCTTCGAGCTGGGCCCCGTCAAAGGGGTCCTCGGCCGAGTATGGGAATGAGAGCGCACAGTCGATGGTTGGCTTTGGGGCACTGAATGTGTCCTATGATCGGACTCACCCCTGCTAGACCGAGAGTGACTCGGCCTATGATGAGAGTTATGAATTACGGTAGAAAGGGAATCCTCCCTGTATGATCCTCCCCCCGAGCTGGCACCCTTGGGAGAGTTCCGGTCCGACGAGGGTGATGGTGTAGGGGTTTTAGGCTTTTCGCCTGCTCCTTGACGGAGGCCTTTGCTCTTGCGGTTCTTAGCCATTGCTACTAAGATAATTGCAAGATGATCTTGGTTAGAAATTTGGCTTAAAGATTTTTGAAAGTCCTCCCCACAGACAGCGCCAAATTGTTTCGGGTGAAAACAATGGGACCTTGTCGAAAGTCCGATGAAGTGGAGAAGACTGGATTCGGTCCAAGTGATGTTGGGCCGAAGGTTTCCTACATAGTAAACACACGTAAACTAGCCTCGGGGATGTTGCCGAGGAAGGCCCCTCCGATGCTAAAGTCAGTACAGTGTGTAGAAAGAGAACACTATGCAAGAGAATTAATTGCTTGAGGCTTTGCTTGAATTAATGTACAAATGTAATGTTGATGGCTTTTATACCTTTGCATATATGGATAAGTTGGGTCTTAGCCCAATTGGCTTACCTTGAGAACTGATCTTTGACTTTAGCACAATTGGAGAGATGAACCTTGACCTTGGGCTTTTAATTGGATCATTTAATGCCTAGCCCCAATTGGACTAAATTGGACCCAAACACAAATTAAACGGTTGCAGTTAAGCAAGGTATCATTAAAAGCTAATTTAATCATCATCATAACATAATCATTATACACAAAAATATGCAAATTAATCGGAAAATTTCTAATCCATAAACCCTAAATTTTCGACATGAAGACCACGAAACTTAATCCAATTAACCTCAAAATTCAAATAACCTAATCAAACACCAAAAAATTCACACAAAACGCTAACTTATTTCCAAATTAATTCACTCTATCCACCAAACACCAAAAATCCACGGAAAAAAATAATTAAAAAAAAATTAAGGTAGAAAACCTGTCTGAGATGAGATTGAACAGTGGGAGAAATCTCATGAAGATTCTTGAAAGCATCGAAATTCCAAGAACTTCCATAACCAGGTTGCGATTGCGATTGGAAGAATGACTCCATATTTTCTCTCTCTTCGCTTTGAATTTCTTTCGCAGAGCAATTAATATTCCTTTTTTTTTTCTTTGTTAAAAAACTGAAGATAATATTGTTTCCTAAAGAGATGGAAAATGGGTATTTATAGGGATTGTTTGCGGAGGAGGTGTTTGGCGTTTCCTGGAAATTTCTGGGTGTTTTTGGACGATTTTGCCCTTTTCTGGGTTCCAGGAAATTGGTTGGGTTTGAAGGGTATTCTTGGAAGATAAGAGTAGTTAAGAATTTATGATCAATTTTAAAATTCCAGAATGACCTCGAATTTTATAGAAGTCCACTTAATTTGCGTTTACTTATTCTTTTAATAATAAAAGACTTTGCAACGAAGTAATTACTTAGTTTTGTTTCAATTTCATTGATAATAAGGTTTTCTAGTGACATGGTGGAACCTATGGGAGATGGACAACTCAGCAGCGGCATTAATATGTTAATTTTTGTTGGATATCACAGTATGATAATGTATTTTTCCACAAAAAGAAAGAAGAAAAAATAAAGATCGATTCTCCTAGAAATTGCTTAAATAAAAAAAAAATCGATTTATAAAGCAATTTCCAAACTACTACTTATACTTTCATAAGATCGGATATCATATCATATCATATCACTAATAAATAAAGTCAATCTTGCAACCGGCCACGAGACAGCGACACTTGACATTCCAATTTTTCGACAAGTGTCATGCCACGTGGGCGACAAATTGGTATTTACTCTGACACACATATGATGCTAAGTAAGAGAAGTTTGATAGATTTTTTAAGATAAAAATATTGTATAGAGTTTTATTATCGATATAATTCTAATATTTCATATATAAAAAATTAATCATAACTTTTAATAAATATCTCATAACTCGGTACATCCATTTATAATATAATTAATTTATATTACAAAAATAATAGTGAATCAGTGAAAATAAGTTTTAATCAGAAAAAATAATTTTAGTTTTAGTAAAAATACCTTCAGTTAAATAAAAAAAAATTCACTTAAATAAAATATAATTTCAGTTCAGTATGTATGTCTAAATATTGTGCATTATCAAAATGGATTATATGACCGTATTAAACATTCAATCTAAAAAGTGTATCATAACCTTTTACATTGCCCGAGCACAAAACTAATTATATATATTTAATTCTAATTTAATGTAATACCACTAAAAATATGTATTCTCTTACTCAAAATATTAAGTAATTCCTAATAATTTTTTTTTAAAAAAAATAGCAATGAATTATCAATTACTCTATGGTTAACCCTATACTATATTCATTTAAGAAATCTAATCGTAGCTTGGATGTTAACTACAAGTATTTTATTTCTAATGCCATATCCTTATGAAGTTCACCACGGCTAAGCTTGGTGTAAGATTGTACCTTCCAACCTTGAGGTAGGGGGTTCAATCCCCACTAGAGACACTTTGAGAGTAGGAATCCCTTACCTTCCCCTCACTCTCAAAGTGTTTGGCCCGCAAATATCGGACTAAAAAAACTGTGAGGGTTGAAGTTCGGCTACATTTGCTTGAGAGTAAGGGGATTCTCTTACCTTTCCTTCTCTACTCTCAAGTATTGACATGCAAAGTTGGCTTGTCGATTCAATAGGTCTTTCATCTAACCCATTTATAATTGGTGCGGACCGGGCTTTTAATGGGTCTCCAACAGTCCAACCCATTGAATTACTCTAATTGCCAATAACTGAATAACTCCTCCTCCTCTCTTTCACTGTTCGTTCTCCATTGAAGCGCATTTGACGTTCATTGAAGCGCACTTGACGTTCTCCATTGAAGCCCCTTCTAGTACTTGTATCTTCCATTGAAGCAGCTTCTGAGGTAAGTTGTTATTTCTTTTTGTTATCAATCATGTCAATTTCACAATCTAGGGTTTATCTTTCATCTAATTTAATTTAATTGTCAGTGTAGTAAGTTTAGGGTTCGAAAATCTCAACTGTTGGTTCTAATGACTAAGAATTTGAAAGATTTTAACCAGCGATGATGTTGTTAGAAAAAAAAATTATGAGCTTAATTGATAATTGAATCAAATATCCCTAAAATTATGTGATTTTTCGAGCCTTATCTGATAATCGAATCAAATTTGTTTGCTAATGTATTGCAGAAACCCTTTTTAATTTTAGAATGCAACTATGAAATTGATACTGCAATCTGTAGTAATTGAGCTGTTTCAATGCCTAGCTGCAGGAAATTCAGTGATTGGTTTCGTGTAATCGGTGTTAATCGATTGAAATACGATGAATTTCGCTGCATCATTGTGCAAAAGAGTTAGTCTCCGAGATTTGGTCGCAAATGTTCCTGCTTATGCAGGTGCAACTGGTATGGCCCTTTCAGTGTAGTCAAGTAATGAGTCGCCAATTTCGTTTTCTATGTTTTGTTTGAATTCGGTGTTTTCGAATGTAGATGCATCTGGAACAGGCTTGGCTTTAGTGTTTAGGAGGTGGGCTACTAAGAAGACGGCTGGATCATCGAAAAATGGAAGAGATTCCAAGCCTAAAAACCTTGGAGTGAAGAAATTCGGAGGCGAGGTATAGCACATCTTGCCATTTTAGGAAAAAATTAGACTTGATTGGAATTGATTTGTATGGTTCAAATATTCCTGTTTTCATCAAATTTAACTGTCTCGAATAAGTTGCAATGTTTTTAGTGTAGAAGCTAGGTACAATCAATAATCTTGTGAGGGAAAACATGTATTTGACATCTTATGTTGTTCCCTTGCTGTAAACATCACTCTAAAATGTGCCGTGCTATAATTTAAATTGCTTTAATATACACAACTTCAGTTCAATATTTAGCAAGTTCGTGTTTATACAGCTTGTCTTGATCTTCAAAATTTGTTTGACTAAGGTTTATGCTAGATAATGATTTTTCTGGTGTTTCATAACCTTTCTTTGTTTGATGTGTGCAATGACATATTTCAAACTCGGCAACTTTTTGTGCTAGTATGTTTGTTGCTCCAAAGATTGTGTTTTTAAAAGTTTGTACTTTTAACATGCTCTATTTAATAAGAAGGTTTTTCACAATCAAGAACACTATTGGCAACCTTGTGGTCCTTGTCCATGTATGCATGGAATTCTTCCAATTGATTATATGTTCTGTTTAGCATAGCTTCTGCCTGAAGATGCTTTTGAACTTCCGTACCCCTCTTTTTTTCACAGGCAGTCTTCCTTCAGCACCTCCATACTCAATTTAGAAGAAAGTGTTATTGTATTAATAGCTTTCAGTTTGATGCAAAAATGAAAAAGTAGTGAAGGTTTTGGAACAAAACCAAGGGAATTATTGGCTTTCATGCAAAAGAAACAAATTTTTGGTGCTGATAGTAAATAGATTATCAGAAAGGAAGTTGAAGAAAGTTAGATTCACCTCGAAGCTGTAAAAAAAAAATATTAACTGAATTTTGGTGGTTTCCTGCAGAGAGTTATACCTGGTAACATCATTGTTCGGCAGAGAGGAACCCGTTTCCATCCTGGAAATTATGTTGGGATTGGAAAGGATCACACCCTATATGCATTGAAGGAAGGAAATATTAAATTCGAGACACATAAGCTGAGTGGTCGCAAGTGGGTGCACATTGAGCCCAAGGACGGACACACGCTCCATCCTGTTTATGGAGACATTCAGAGCCCTCAACTGGAGACTGCTGCTTAGAGCCTTAGAATGCTTAGTTCAACATTGAAGATGATGTAAACTCTGTCAAATTATGTTATCTGTATTTTAGCATTGCTTCACTCCATTCCAATCTTTCTCAGTTTAATTGCAGATAGTTTGCGTTGATGCTCACTCAAATCTGAATTCTGATTGAGTTCTAATCTCAAGTGTCATTTTGCTCCTCCCTTGCATATTTTGCTTGCCATATACAGACTTCGAATTGATTCTATTCAACTTCACTGTGTGCCGGCAAAATACATAATTGATCCTTCATTCTATGATCACAGGAACACATAACATGAGAGTGACAAACTTTAGTTTATTGGCGTCAAATTTGAAATTTCTTAGACAAATTTGGTTTTGACAAATCTTGAACAAAAACCCAGAGATCGAAATTGAGTTAGTGTGATTAATCCATATAATGTTTATTAGGGAATAGTATTTTATTATGATTTAAAATTCATTGATTGCTTGACTGCGAATGTATTTTAACTAATCATCTTACTATTATAACTATAGAAAGTTTGATGGTTATAGACAGTAGAAAGATCGTGTTATCCTAGGCACTTTGCATTCTGAAATGGTAATACTAAAAATTACTTGATTGAAGATTTGCAACGAAAGCAAATGCGGCAGGATTCAGATCTCCTAGTAACCAAACTAACCAACGTGTATTGTATGAAGGAACATCACAAGTTTTTCACTTGTAATTATATACTCCGTAATCTGTTTCGTAGGAGAAACTCTATGTTAATCTCCTTCGTTTGTATGCGGGGTATCGTAATTGAATATCATTAGATTCAATCTTTATTATACTTCAAAAAGTTACTCACTCCGTTCAATTGCACTTCGTATCTGGTTTCAAGAACAAGTCAATATAGACACTGATATATATTTATTTGAAATGAAGAGTATAATAAAATTAGCCCAAATTTCATTGTATAGGCATTATTACCAAATCTACAAGTTAAATGCCACCTTCTTAACACTTAAATATCTTGTAATTGTTTCCTGTTTCCTGTAATGGCGATAAAGCTTTGCTGCTTGTAGAGTTGTAGTGAATTCTTTTATGGACTTTCTGTTTATCAGTCTCTATTCCCCATACATGACTTTTGACGCACGATAATACGACTACGACAAAAAAGAAGAAGAATACAGATAGTGAACATGCAAAACACTACAAGAGCAATGTAGTACATCCTTTTGAGAAAATTTTCCATTGAGTGATATCTTAGGTAGGTTTGTACATGCAGAAACTCAACGATTCTTTATGGTACTTTCTCCAGTAGCCATTATTCAGCAAAATTGGTATAGCTCTATAGCTGTATGCTACCAAGCCTCATGTTACAAAATACAACGGGGCATTCACTCTATTACACTTCCAATGAATAACCACTTGTCGGTTTAGCAAGAAATAAATTATCAGACACGGCATGCCTGATGTATCTCTATTCTACTCATTGGTAATGTCCAACTAAAGCTGCACTATGCCTTTGTACCTCTTTATCGGGGTCATAAAACAATCTAGTGTGGTTTTGGTTTATATCCATCAACTGCAAAATTTCTGGTGGCCACAGGCAGAGCCAAGCGAATTCCATCTAGTTCAGGCTTTGCTTCAATTTGGCAACCAAGGCGAGACCTAAATAAGCAATCATTGAGGTCTAGAACCAGGAGAGACAACTTAGAGTAATTGAATAAAGTAGAGAAGATATACTTACGTTTCTGTAAGCCCAAAGGCGAGATCCAACATGTCATTTTCTTCATCAGATGGGTCTGGCAGTTTGTTGTAGTAGTCCACATCCTGATAAACAAAACGTGTTAAACATTTGAAGCCATTGGGGGGCAAAGAGGTAACAAATATTTACGCAAAAAAAAAAAAAAAAAAAGGAAAAAAGAAAAAGAGAGAGAGAGAGAGATGGACTTCCTTACCATTACTATAACGTGACATGTGGAACATGCACAGGATCCCTCGCATGCTCCTACAGAGACAAAATAATGTTAGCAGAATGCTCCCTTGGTTACGAGCAGCCATGGAAGCCTTAGAAGACAAACAAAGAAAATATTTAGGCACTGTAGAGTTTCATGATGCTGAGCCTTGTCTACAACAAAGAAATTCAAATTCAAGAACGGAGTGTAACAAGACAAGCGGAATGCCTACCTTCTAGCTCAACGTCATTCGAATGAGCAGCTTCTAGCATGCTTGTGCCTATCGGAACCTTAACCTGTTTCTCCGAACCATCTGTTTCAACAAATGTCACATTTATTCTGCAGATGAGAGTAAATGAAATCAACAGGAGAGGAAGGTAATTAAAATGATAGAAACAGAAATGTGAAAGGAAAGTAGGGGAAATTGTTCTGATGGCAGTTAAAAGTGGGGAAAAAGAAAAGGTAAGAATGCTCACTGTTGCTCCTCATTTCCATCTTTGCTGGAATCAGTGGTACAAAAATATCGATGCGTCTGAACAAAAATCCAACACGTGCATATGAGTAAATATAAAAGTAGGAACAACACAGTCCTTGTAATTCTCAAATTACACATATAGCAGTAAAATATAATCTTCTTATCTGTTCATTTTAACAAATCAGACAACTTAGTATCTTTTGCATAGAGCGAGAGGCCCGGAGAGCACACACATACAGCAAATCAACAAGTAGTAGCCAATTCAGAAAAACTTGTGTGGACCTGGTTCACAATATAAAATGAACATAGTGCCCCTGATATTAAAATGAACATAGTATTATTGTGAACCTGAGGTCTTTACGTGCGTGACCTTATAATTAACATAGTACCCCTAATATTAAATATAGTAAATTTAATTTTAACATAGTAACTTTTACTCCCTCCATCTCATAATACCATGTCTCTTTGAGATTTTACACGGGAATTAAAAAAGTTGTAAATTTCTTAAAATTAATTATTAGAAATACATATGTGCATGTGGGGTTAGAGAGAGATAAAGAGAAAGAAAAAGTATTGGGAATAATTGAAGAGATAGAGAGATAAAGTGTTGGAAATTGATGTTAAAAAAAAAAAGGAAAAAAGATGACAGCTCATTAAAAAGAGGGTAATAATGTCAAAAAGTACAATCTTTAAATAGAAAGAGGCATTGTATTTCGGTTTACCTAAAAAAGAAAAGAGGCATTGTATTATGAGACGGAGGGAGTATAAAAACTTGTGTGATTTTTAATATTATTGCAAACCTAAAGTATGACGTTATGTTGAACATAGAGACCTTAATTTTAACATATAAACCTTTATTATTCATATTGACTAAATTTAAAATTTTCATTTAAAAAAAAATAAATTAATTAATCTCTACCTTTATAGAAACACAATCATTTTTATTTAACATAATAATCTTTATTTTAACATAGTGGCCCTTTTTTCATTAATAAAACAGTCATAGTATCTCTACTATTAGTTGTTCACAATAAATTATTATAAACCAGGTCTATTTAAGAGTTTGTATAGCCAGTTTGCCACTTGCTAGCAGCCATAGGTAAATGAAATAAAGTTGACCTTGTTGTAGTGAACTAAAAGCCCAAAACCAAAACCTTAAATTATAAAACTTGAACTACCAAGAGAATCTTTCACATGATAGCTAACGAACCTTAAACCATTAAAATCTCGGCCTTATAAGGACTAAAGATTCAAGGAAAGAGGAACTTGTTATAGTGTTGGTGATCATATAACATTGAAAATTGGACAAATATTACAAACAAGCCAGTACTATTATTTATTTTAAAAGTTTTCTAAATATCGATAACAGATACCTGTGGGGGAAGCTGAAGCAAAGTCTCCATCCTGCTTGAAGATGCATATAGGTATGGTGTTCTTTGTATATGTGATAATTGCCCTAGCAAAAAAGTTCAGGTCAAAACTAGATTTTTGCAGAAACTCATTTAAGTGTAGAGCATACACAAGGTACTTTCATCCACAAGCATAACTAGTCAAGAATGCAAATATGTTTTTAGGATTCCCATGATATTTGATACTTTAAACTTCAAGTTACCAGGCCTTCTATTGTCTTTTTTCATTTTTTCTTTCCCTTGCTCTAGGAAGACAACTAACATTCAGCACTATTACAGGAAACTTGAGTTTCCACTTTTAAACATAAATAATGAAAGATAAAGGGATTCCATTAATGGAGCACACCAAAGTTTTTATGTACATAATCTTTCCTTTTTGACTTACTGTAGGGGGGGAAATTAAGCACAGAAAGTAGGCAGCTATGAAGAGTTACTAAAAGAAATCTTCTCAATGCCATCCACACTGATAGGCTACAGCCATCTAATCTTTGTTTAACTATGTCTATCCAACATTTGTTTCTCAAATCTTACTGACTCTTCTGCTGATTCCATCAAATCGAAGATGCATTTTATTGTTAATTTTGAGCCTGGTAGCCAAATATAAGTAGAATGGGTAGCAAAATCCTGGATTGAAATGCCATTCTCAGTCCATAAAACAAATAGCTGAGGTTATATTCTGCAAGGAATGGGCCTAGACCCCCTATTGTGGCTACTTACTCAAGACGTAAGAAGGCTGATGGAAGAATGTGAGGAGAGCTGACCTGTCTTAATGCTTCTAGATTCTGTTGCAATTCTGTTATTTTTGTTGAGGGCTTCATTAGTCTTTTTGTTTTAAGAATAAAATTCTGTTAGGGAAGGGGGATGAATGTAAGCTAGAATTGTGTAGAAGGAATAGTAGTTTAAATAGCAGTGCATGGATGCAAGAATGGGCATCCAGAAAATTATACAGAAAGCTTAGGCTTGGGGAGAGTTCCTTCCTCTCAAAAGAAGGCTGGCTAACTGTTACTCTATCAATACAATCAGCACTCCTTCTCACTCTCTTACTGATTCCTAGGATATTCATTTTGTCCAGCTCTTGATAATGTATTTCAGTATCTAGATGAGAGGATTTGAACAGAAAGTGGTGGGGAGCACTATAGAGGACCCATTTTCATTTGCATATAGAATGGGGGAGATGGGATTATGGGAAGGTAAATGGAAGACTCCAACTCTGTTTCCCTTTTAATAAACAAAATCATTCTGGATTTGGAATTTGGAGAGAAAAGACAAGCACAGTTCTCCCTCCCCTCCATTCCCTCTCTTTCCTTCCCTTCCTCTACCCACATACACCAGTGCTAATGCCTAAGCATCCCAATCAATCTAGACGTTCTGTAACAGCAACAACTTAGTATTAATACTCTTAATGTTTATTATCTCCAAACTGTTAAAGCAGAATTCTAATCCATGGCTAACACTTGATAACCCCAATTTTCACCTTCGAGGAAAAACTATTGGCATACAAGAATACTTCTCAATCTCTGACTGACTCTGAGTATCTAGAAGCATAACATATTCCCATTCACCATCCTACCAAAAGACTTCCTAGTGAAAAATTCTATCTTTTACACTTTGTTTGGATAGCAAGATAAAAGAGAAAGGAAGGAGAGGGGGAGGTAGAGCCATAGAGCTCCATTCTCCCTCCAAAGTATCCAAATTAGGAGGGATTGTGTTTATTATAGGATGGAAAATAGATTCCTGCCTTATCTTCCCTCAACCCCTTATCCAAACAAAAGAAATTGTTCCCCTCCCTTTCCCTTCCATCTCTTTCTCTCCATTTCCTCTTATCCAAAGTGCTAAGGTTAAGGTAGACGGAGTTCAACAATCTACAAATATCATATAAAAAAGTGTTTTGCACTCAAAAATGCATACAAGGGAATTGTCACTTCAATGAAGCACAAAAATAGCATCAACCAAATATCAGAAACTTCAACCGAACGAGCGAATTGTAAAGCATTAACCAATAGTTACTATTACTATTCAAAATTAGGAAAAAGCATGGAAATTTGAGGATTCAGAACCAAACCTTGAGTCAATTTCTTGATTGCCTGAGCTCCAAAACTTGAAATTCTAGAAACCCACATAATCTTGGAAGATTATTAAGCACTATCAATCTGAAACAGAAGAAATGAACAAAAATGATTCCAGCATTTACATATTCTCAACATTGGAGAAACTCTTCACCAATAAGTTGGGCATAAAATCAAACACTTGGCAGGCAACATTAAAGGGGCAGCTCCAGGCCAGTTTCCGAAAAGCTCCATTTTCATAATTTCAGTAATTATAACAAATACTTGAATAATTTACCTTAGAAGAACCCTAAATTGACAAATTAACGATAAACCCTAGATTGTTAAATTGATATTCGATGATTAAAGAAGAAAAAATAAAGTCAAAACATCTTGCCTGAGAAGCTGCTTCAATGGAGGAGAGAAAGCTTAGAAGCCGCTCAAATAGAAGATTCAGAGTACGCTACAATGGTAGAGAGAGGAGAGCAGCGTAAACGTGGAATGCTACAAACTACAAAGGGAAAAATGAGGAAGGAGATAGCTTTTTAGAAAGCTTTTAGCTTATTGAGCTCTATTAAACGTTTGACCAATTTAAAGGTTAATTTGGGTGTTTATAAATAGCTTAGTACAGTAGTATTAAAAGAGCTTTGGGGACTCAAAAAGTCATTATAAGAGTTTTTGAAATTAGCTTGTTGAATAATTAACATTTTGCTATTAAATACACTAAAAATAACTAATGATTAACAATTATTTTCCACACTTTTACACAATCAGCTATTTACAGTCAATTAGTATACCCACCTGGTCAAACTAGTTGATACAACAAGTTATATCAATCAGCAATCAGCTATTTACCAAACAGAGCTCAATCCGTCTCACAATAAAAATACGAGGTAAGCCCGAGCTTAAATTATATATTGACCGGTTCTTCACAAACATTAGTTCTTTGCGTGTTCACCACATGCGACATGGAAAACTGTGAGTGAGAGTTAGAAAAAGGGTCTATACGTAGTAATAAAAAATGGTTTAACAATGCATACATATTACTACGTAGAATATATCCAACGACCAAGAAGCTTTATGATTATAAGCAAAGGTCGTGGGTTCAAAAATGCCAAGCACCTTTGTTCGTACTTGGTAAACATATCATCGTCATGAATGAATAAATTGTCATATACAAATACTACTAATGATTAATTTACCATGAGCTCTCCAAAACCTATTTTTTTACGTGATATCCATTAAGAAAAATTTAAAATTAAAAACCAAATTTAACATCCAGAATTTTTCGAATCAGATCACCAATATGTCAAATGGGTCAAACAAATTAAATATTTTTTGACATCCCTTCCAGTTTCCTGGTGTATTTCACGGGAAAAGAAAAATGAAAAGACCATATCAAGGGCCATGGGGAGAGGAAAGAGGCTCACATTGACAAGATACATGCATCTCATATGAAATTGTCATACTACTCTTATTCCCTTATTTATTGGCTGTTTCTTGGGGCATTTTATACAAAGACAACATACAAGGATTGGCTAGTTTGAAAAATTTATTCAAAACATCAACCTTTTTTTGGTAAGCCTTAGTTCAGAAACGACCATTATTACAAGCTTTCTTTTGATAAGCCTTTGCTGCAGTACATCCCGAAATTTAGTGAGGGTGTTTAGATTTTGCAGAGCAATAAAAATCATGGCACTCTTTCTGCCCGGAATTAATAGTCGTTAAGATATCCGTTAAATTTTACCACATTTCTAATATTGTGGCCTGGATTGACAAAATTAATAGTCGTAGGATGTTAGATGTTTCATGACTTTATAACATCCTAATATGCCAGTACCTCAATCAAGATGAGAAGTGGCCTGGATAGAAAATGACAAAATTATGACACACGTTTTTGTACAATTTATCGAGGATAGAGAAAGTCTATGAACCAAATTTGTGTTTCATTGCTAAAAAAGGAGGAAATCTATAATGTCTGGTTCCACAGATTACAAATGTGTTAAAACTGCACATGTAACAACAATGTACCTTTAAAGAATTCTTACTTGCAAAAGAGAAAGACATCAAAATAAGTGTGAATTAGAAAAGAACACTAGATGTTATCACTCGATGTAGTTGTTTTTTGACTCTGAGTCTCGTCTTCTGAGGGAGAAAACAGGTCTCTGCATAATTCTCCATAGAACCTACATACCAAATCAATGAACACAGGGCTTTTCAGATTCCTCCAACAATAGAGAAGCTCCTCGACGTCCATCAAGTCCTTCACCTTCCCTTCTTCGACGATCATCTCCACTAAATAATTCTCAAAGTCTTTGCATACATCTTGTACATCCACAAAATCATCGGAACTGCTCTCTTTCTTGCTGCTGCTGTCATCGTCGCTTATTCTGACATGTACATACCCCGGTGTTATAGGTGATGGGAAAGGCTCTTTTGCGTGCCCTCCTCCTCCTGATGACGGACTCACACTTGTTACATCGCCCATGACCATCACCTGATCGCAGCTATCAGTGTCTAAGTCTTTAGCCTTTCTAAGGGAGAAAAGAACAGTTAGGTACTCAGCAATGCGTACCTTTTGAACAGGTTTCTTGTATGGTTTGGCATGCTTCTTTCGACGAAATGTTTTTCTAAATTTAGAGGAGAATGAAGACCGGCTTTTCTTTACACGAAGTTTCTTCTTGGGGCGACAACGAGGGAAACTTAAGGACTTCATGGAGAAGGGTTTCCTAAACCTGACAGTTTTGGTTCTGACTTTTTTGGGTTTTGTCCGTCGAGCAGCAGGCAAACGGAATGTAGGACTCCTTGAAGGCATATCATTATTTTTATGCTTGAAGATGGACAAAAGTTTACTACAGGGTTCAATCACCTTGGCTTTGAAGTGAAACAATGTTTTTAGTCCCATTTCTTAATGATTGAGCTTATGGGAGAAGTTGGCCTTCGATTAGCGACGACGTTTTGTTGGAGGATTGGTGCACTACATGGAACTTTAGGTAGAGGAAAGAAAGGATATGATGATTTTGATGTTGTTAAGAGTTGGTGGTTGAGCATTTCCAATGCTCTGGTTATTCTAAAATTTGAAGGATTGGTGCTAATAATACTGGGGCACACGTCTAGAAAAACTTGAGGAAAGTGGGATCCCATGAAGTAAAATTTGGTGTCACTGTCATATTAACAGACTACTATGAATTTTTCATATACTTTTCATATACTATATGCTTCTACCTACCTGTAACAACCACTATATTTCTTGCTACTATACAATTTTTGGAATACCACTCATCCTACTATATATCCTAGTTGACTAGTCATCAAATCTTCTGATTGACCATGGCATAAACAGAGAGCTTAATCCTAATATAAAATGATATTTTTTTTTTTTTTTTTTTTTTTTTTGAAAACAATGGAATTGCAGTGACTCTTTACACTCAACGTAACATCGTCGCATGAGCATCCTCCAGATATGCAAAACAAGGATAAATTTCTTGTTCAAAGCACAATATAATGGTGTCTCCAACTAAATTGAGTTGATTTTTCAGGACATTGATTGGCCACTATATAATTTTCATGATCCTAATTTGTTTAGCTAAGCTGAAACTTATCTGTCTGAATATCAGTATTGATCTAGTTTAACAACAGCCGTCAATGGCGCAGGCAGTGGAAGGATCATTGGGAATTGCAAAATCAATGTGGTATACGAATAATCGTATGTCTCAGCAAACTCAGATCGATCAGGGTAAAGCATCAATTAGTAAGCCTAAAAGAACCATATTTCCTCCTATCCTCCCTACTTAAGGAGCAACCTTTTTTGTAAATGGTTTGCAAAGTATGGACAAGCATATTGTACATATCAACGACATAAGACATGGAGTCATACAAAAATTTGAGAAAAAAGTAATTATGGATGTTGATGTATTACTACGTATAATTTAGCAATTGCAATGATTACTATTGAGCCTTGTGTTAGTAATTTAGCAACTGCAACGAAGGCTGTAGAATCTGGACAGCATCTTTCATCATTATACAATAACTGAATACCTATCATAAACTATCATATTCAATACAGAAATTTACAAACTGAAGTTCTGATTCAACCAGTATCCAAATCCTAATAGTCATATTCAACTGTGTCCATGACATCTCTGTTGGGTAAGATCCCTGAATATAAACACTAACTAGCTAAACCTGACAACTGCACATTTTAACACCTTTATCGGCTTGTTTCACAGAGTAAAAAATTAAGGTAATAGTTCTCCATTACCAAATTTAGAGTTTTATCCCCCATTAATTTTCATAACTTAATCAACTGTAAGTTTGAGGTGAAAATTGATGAAGAATAAACATTCAAATTATATGGTAATGAAGATGCATTACCTTGACATTTCCATGAGACATTCTACACCAAAACTCACTTCTCATCATAATTCCTTTGTGTATCCTTATGCCAAACGAGCCACTAATGTGTTGCTTCCAAAGCTCCAAGTTCTGCATATATTGAGCATCAGGGCTGGCCAAATAAATAGGGCATCCCCCGGTTTCAGTAGGTAATGTGATCAAGTCTCGTTCTTGGCAGATTGAGATCCCTTTTATATTCCTAGCCTGTAGAGGTTTCTCCATACAAAAAAAAAAAAAAAAAAAAAAAAAAAAAAAAAAAAAAAAAAAAACCTGCATGTACGATAAAAATAGTTCCCCTTGTATGGCTTTGGACATCTCCAACAGGAACACTTCCTATGATAAAGCAGTCAGCCATATAATCTTTTGGGAAAATGGATTACTATACAACCAAACATTACAACAAGAATCTTCAAACTTTTACAGAAGCATTTAAATTCTCTTGTCTTACAGCCTCACATAACAAAGGCAACGAGTTGCTTTTAGAATCCTCATTTTGACTCCGTCTAAATGTTCTTTTTTTAAGCAAGGCATCTTGAACTGGCGCAAAGAACTCATGATTAAGAGCTTCGTCTGCAGTGATTCTCAATCTCGGATTCACAGTTAAGCACTTCTCAAGTAGATCAAAAAGAGAATCAGGGATAACCTTAAGGAGGTCCTGTCTCTTCGTGTGTGTCCTATACCAGTCTCTAATAGTTATTGATTGTAAGTATCTTATATCCAAAAGTTCCTGCAACATCCAATTATAGTATAAAGCATTCATGTGCTTAGAGAAGACAACAGCCAATTTTTTTTCTTAAAGATTAGAGAGAATAAATTTTCAAAAGTATATGAAATTAATTACCACTGGAAAAGAAGATTCGCGGCTGTGTAACTTGGCCACTTCCCATAGCTCTTCATTGCCCTTCATATTTACAATGTCTTTCATGTTTCTACAATAATAAAAACGGTTTAGTTTACGGCTGTAGTACACGCTTGAATATGAGGAGTGAAAAGGCTTACTGCTCTAGGTCCCCGTTGAAGGGCATTCTTCCACTTATTAGGTAAAGTAAGGTAACACCAGCTGACCAAACATCAACCTTAGGACCTTGGTGCGCAGACCGAAGCAAGACCTGCAAAGATATGGGGGACAAAGAATGCAATCAAGTAAATGATTTTTATGCAATAATAGAAGGATGTGGACTAATGATCCTCTCACAGGTAAACCCTTTTATCCTCCCTATTCCACAAGTTTTTGACAACAGGAAAGCTACAAGCAAAAGAAACCACAGGCAGACAGGCATTTACGAAACTCACCTCCGGAGCACGAAACCCTTTTGTTCCAGCTGATGGGCCATCCTTGATAGGCTTAACTTCTCCTGAGGAAAACAAAAAAAATTACATATCACACATAAGAGCATGCAATCTAGGACAGCTCCGTTCACAATTTTTATGCAGCAAACCTCTATTCTTCAGTGACCCAGCACCCGGAATTGCAATGCCAGATGAGTGAAGTGGAGCTGGAGTAGGATGAATGAATTTTCTATCTGTGATCCCAGGTGAAGCAGCCACCCTTTTACGATTAGAAGCTGGAGCTTTTGCTGCTCCAAGATTTGGGCCTTGCACTGCTTTCTGGGCTAGGCTGATCAGCTCCTTGCGACCTTTACTAAAAAGGGGCTGGGGTTTCCTCTGTCTCTCTGCTGAAGGAGCTCGAGTGCTTGTCATGTCCCTTGCAGAAGTTATGCCAGACCCCTCTGCGCCTTGGCTTGTGAGCGAATTGCAACGACCTATATTTTCAAAAGCCCTAACCTTGTCCGAATCCTTCTTCTTTAGTGCCTTGGTCTCCAGGCTACGATTAGAGCCACTTTCTGCCCCTGCCTTGAACAGTTCAGAGGATTTACCACCCAGAATCTTCTTTCGTTTGTTGGGGGAAGTAGACTTAAAATGTGCTGATGGAATTTGTTGAATATCTGTCACATTGCAAGGTTGTGATTTCTCTGTCATAACAAAAAGATCTTTGGTCATACATTTACTCTTATGTGTTCAATGTCACACCAATTAACAAATACCAAAGAAATTGGAAATAACTACCAACAGCACTGTTAAAAGGCATGATTAAGAATTATGCTGTCAAATAAACTTGACAAAGCACCTAAAATTAACTTAAGACTTCAAGTTGGTGAAAACACTAATTTAGAAAGTCAGCTATGTTGTGCAAACTTCTCATTCAAAGGTAATCTGTTTCTTTCCCAACAATATAAAAAGAGCAAGTGCTAAAATTTTAATACAATGAATTTCATTATTATAAGCAGCTAGCTAAGAGTGGGAAATAAAACAAGAAAAATGAAACTAAATTGGTTTGAATCAAGAGCTGCTGAACCTGTAAAAAAATTAAAATAAAAAATCAAACAAAAAGAGCTGATGAAAAACTCACCTATATTCCCATGCTTTTGATTCAAATCCTGAAATTAACAAGAAAAATGGTAAACCAAATGCTTACTAGGAAAACAACAATTGACTGATAAATGGAGGGGTGCAGGCCCCATTGGGAAGCATTTATATATACTGCAGTATGTACTCACCTTAGCAAGATTGAAGTCAATCAGATACCCTTTCAGGGTTTTGCGTGAGAACAGGAAGTTTCCAGGCTTGATGTCTCTGTGAAACACTCCCTACACGCATATAACTGTACTTTATTTCTGTAAGAAACCACATCCTACCACTAGGCTAAAATAAACGTCTACAAATATACACATCTAGTTGGCAGCATTGTGTACCTGCTTATGAAGACTAACAAGTGCCTTGAACATGCAGTAACCATACAGCTGAAGCTGAAATATATTTATCTCCTTTCTCAAAACCTGCAGCAGAAACAAGATTGTACAAGGGTCAGAAAGACAAAAAAATAAAAATAAAAAAATCTAAGATACAAATATACAAAGCAATGGAAAATAATGCAAATAACTTACTTCAGGCCTATCATGCTCAACGTGCTCAAGAACAAAGCAATCAGAACTATCGCTCTTAAGGGAACATTCATATTTTATCACATAATTCTTTCCCCTGAGAAACAAGATCTCGAATATTTTTATTTCATACAGGAATTCATCTCACAACAATTAGCTTCAGAGTCTAGACAGTACGTACCCAAATCGTTCAAGCATCCTAAGCTCATTCTTCAAATGGTGTTTATGAGCATTCTCATGAGGACCTACATTGCCACAAAAAAGCTCCTTGCATCAGTTAGGATATTATTTTGAATATTTTGTGCAGCAGTGGAAACACATTAATAAAGTAATTTTACAAAAGAAGCAGCAGCAATTGGTAATACTGGCAAGTATTAACTACAATGACTATAAGCATGCCCCCTAAATACTAGCCCTGATATTAAACTTTACTTCAAGTTCTATTGTTTCATTTCTGCAATTTCAAACTTCCAGAGCCTTTGCCTTTGCAGATTATATAGAACGCCGAATTTAATATTACAGTCACTTGTATTATGTTCTTCAATAAAACAACCAGAATTTACACCGGTTTGATTAATAAATTACAAATTACAAACAGTTATACAACCTAACAACCCTACCAAAAGCTGGATACAGAAGAGATTGTTAATGTAGGAGAAAGTCTGTTGTAAACAACTTTATACTTGTAGTTAATATACTGAAAATAACTGGTGAGCTAAGATTTCCAACAACGTATTCCAAAAACTAAAATGTCCAGCCTTTCCCGATAGCTTACTTCACACAAACAATTCAGACTGTAAACTGCCGTTCTCCAAAAATTTTAGTGTTGCTAGAACACAGCATAATGAAAATATATATTGGCTGCAACATCCAGATAATCAAAAGGTACAACGGCCCGAGCAACCAGACTTAGCATAAATGTAGTGACTGGAGCCTCATGCGCATCTAGTGCAGTGTCTCTGCAACGTTCATAAACCCTATCCTGTTTAGACATATAGCAGCCGCCTCTGCCTATTGTCTTATTTTCTACTGATTGCTTGTATCAAGCAGGACGTCCGCATGAGAGTTGTACCAAGCAAGTGTTCTCCCTTCACTATCGGACCTGCTTCTTACTTGAATAAAAAAAGTTTCCTGGACTAACTCATGGAAGGAACAAACTCCACAAACTAAGAATCTTACTATGCTATGTATAAAGGAAAGGAAAGTTCAATCAGCAGAAAAGCAAGCCCTTGTTGCTGCCATCTTAATTTCTTTACCTTGTTTAAATTGAAATTAATGTACAAACATGACAAAAGGGAAAGAGAAAGTAATAAATTCCAGTAGTTTCCATATTAAAAATCCAATCTCCAAAACAGAAAGCAACAAAAAAGGACAAGAATTTTTTTTATTTCTGAAGACACAAGTTTAATAGAGAATTCAAAAACACAAAGAATAAATCGATCAGTTTTTTTTAACTTCAGCACCATCAACAAGCAGTTGTCAATCTGATTGTATAATCAAACTATCAATGTGGCATTTAAGATGAAGACAATATTTCCTAGCAAAAGCAACATAAATTTAATAATGACTTCTTCACCAAATCACAGAAATATTTTATTGCAAGATATATTGAAACAAAAGAATTCAATTTTAAATAACAATAATACAGGTATAGCATTTTATTAACAATATCAAATCGTATGTATTTTTTATGTTCCCTTACATTTTATAGCAAATGTTAATCCATCGCTATTTCTTCTTGCTCTATATACAGTGCCATAACCTCCTGTAAAGTGAAGAAAATGTGGATCAGTGAATGTATGGTACATTTAACCATACACGAGCATAGCAACTATCTTACCTGACCCTTCTTCTGCTTCTACTGTGTACGGCTTGAACTCAGGAAATTTCAACTTTTGTTGATCCTGCAACAAATCCATCAATTACTAAGATAATTGAATACTTGAAGCAGAGATAAGATTCACATTAGAAAACTTTGAAAGGCAACAAATGAACACATCAGCTGCCATATCCCACTGTCAACTAAATGTCAAACCAGAAATTCCAGAACTTTGAAAATGCAGTATTGGAAACCTATGAATATATGGAAGGTGCAATTCAATGCCTTGAATGGGGTATATAAAGCGTTAATACAAGCATAATTTGCATAAAGATGCCTACCTTGGAAAACTTATGAACATCATCACATCTTTTATGGATGGATGCATTGTTCCTAGCAATGGGCTTGGATTTGTCCATCATCGCCAATATTATCCGATGATTTTGACCTTTTTGACCTCTCTGTTCTTTATGGATAATATCAACTTTATTATGTTGCACTAACTTGGACAGAGTTTGTTGTTTCTCTGTCAGCTCAACCTGAGGAACATCTTTCAGCATTAAAGATTTTGTGGGTGACTTATGAGCACTAGATTGTGGACCAGCAGAAACCAAAGGCGGACTTGCTAATTTGATATTTGCCACCTCCTCTTTAAAATCAACAATTTCCATATCTAGCTCTCGTAATTTATCCACAGAAGAAAAAACCTCAGTGCAGGAGCCAAACGTAATATTCTCAACCCTTTCTTCAGGACCATCATCATCCATCAATGGTTGCTCATTCAAGTCCAGCATTTTTGTTTCACATTTTTTACTGTGACTAAAGTCATAAGCAGTATTAATGACAGGCATAGGCTTCATCAATGAGTTTTTATCATGCTGATTAGGCTGTACATGGAAAGGACCATCAGTGTTTATATTACACTCCATATCTGCCAAGTCATAATCAGGCCCTTTTAGAATGGCTGAAAATTCTGCCATTTTCTCTAAAAGAGCATCCGTAAATGTTTTATGATAATAACAAGGAAAATCTGATAATACCTCATTGGTATAGCAATTATACTTCTCCATTGCTACACATGTATCCATGGCATTAACCGCAGATGTATCTAGCCCTTGTACACTTTCCTGATCATCAATATTTAACTGATACTCCAACAATTGAATACTGGAATTCACTATAGATGTGGTCGCAACCATGTCACTGATGGTTACAGGATTAACTTCTTTGGGAAATCTGATAAATGATGGTGCATTAAAGGATGTACTGGGATGATAACTTTGTAGATCAATTCCCTGCAACAGATGATTAGCAGATAACATAAAAAGGTTGGAATGGAATAGATCTCTATGCACCGAAAAGAAAGGAGAAAACAAAGATGACAACTCAACATGTTCAGTGAAAGTGTTAAATGACCAAACAGGAAAAAATGGATCGGAACAGTGGTCTGACATATACTTGTCACTTCATAATATTGGTGTAGCTATTAAAGGTTCAAGTTTATATTCACCCTCATGAAAAGGTTAAAGGGGGGAAAGACGGGATCAGTGAAAGGGAATTGAAGTAATGGAAACTGTCCCCGAACAAAATTGCTTTGATTGGCTATCAAACAATTCAAAAACATTTTTAATTAAAAAATTGATAGGCTCTGAGCTTGTGAAGTATACTTGTAATTTTGTATGGATCTGATTTGAGTCCGAATTCATGTATGCTGAAAAATAATCTTACCATACCAATTCAGTCAAATCCACTTACCATAAATATACAAAGAATAACTTTATCCTCTCTAGAGAAGAATTCCGTGATTATAGTATTGAGAATTGACCTGAGGGAACCACCATAGACCTTGTATAGGTGAATAAGTGATATTCCTTCAATTGGTGAAAAAGGTCACTTGGATATTTTACACTTAAACCTCATGAGGTTCTTAGGACATCATTATTACACAGTGATTCTAGTTAGCTCATGTACAAGAAAAAGAACTAAACTGTATCTTGTCTCGTCAATTGCTAAAGTTCACACCTAGGGACCTCTCCTGGTAATTGTCAGTATTATTAAACATTCTCTATTCATTACAGCACCAAGACTTCAACAAACACTCTCCCTCTCTCTTGAACTAAGATGCTAACTTAGGAATTGGAACTTTTGGAAGTAGCACACTAAACATATCCTTAAGCTACATTTGGATTAACCATCCTATTAAACTAAGCTACTAAGCAGCCATGATTACTAGGCTAACTAATCATTGAAGAGATACGCTAAACAAATCCATAGACCAGCATTTGATTGGATCATTGTTCAAACTTAGCTCTAAGCAACCATAGTTATAGCCGAGTGTCCAAGCACCGCAAACGAAATATATAGAAATAAAAGTTCCGGACAATAACTCAGCCTATCCATAAACCAAGCTAATATGAAGCCTAGGTCTGCTTAAGCTTGCAAAACAAAATCATCAAACTTAATGCAATTAAGTTTCGCAGAATACCAATCATCGAACCTTCAATGATAAATCATCAGTCTCAATTCTCTCAAACCTTAACCTAACAGCCTAATTTAAATTAGAAACCCTAGAATTGGCCGATTAACCGAATTCTTAACATTTTAACTACAGAAAACGTAGAAACCGTCTCAAAGAACCAATAGTACCTCACAACAAGCGGTTACTAACTTCTGATTTGAACTCGAACACGCCATTTCCAGCACATTTTCTGCAATTCACCGAAATTTCAACTAAATTAAATTAAACTCGGGAAATAAAAAAACGGAAAGATAATAGAGAAGAAGCGAATTAACTACCATCAATAGACCTCAAAACCGCTCTTTTTTTCACAATCGGCATAATTTCATTCTCCGACTTCTTCCTCTTCCTGAAATACATTCTCGCCACATCACTGCGGCCGCGGAATAATCTCTCTCCTCCGAACACTCGGAGCTCAATCTTCGGCATCGAACCAGCGAGGAACTCACCAATAGCAGTAAAAACTGACATCTTAAGCCCAACGAAGTTCCTCGAAATCATATTAAGCGGCGAATTAGGGATTGAGCAAAGAAACTGGACGAACTCCGGCGTAGATCGGAACAACGAGCATCTTCCAGAAAGTTCCTGCGGAGAAGCCGGACGACCGAGTAATAAAAGAATGGAAACCAAATGCCATGCCTTCTCAGTGTAATTGTAGTTTCTGCAAATTGCGAGGTCTGAGCTTGAGCTCGAGTTTGAGCTCGAGTTTTGAGTTTTCATGGCGGATTGAGGAAGGATCTGGAATGAGGAAGTTGAAGAAATTAGGGTTTAGGAAGGAATTGAGTTGAAGATTAAGGATTTGCAGGATCCATGGAGTAGAGAGAAAGAGAAAGGGGGGAAATGGAGGAGAGAGAAAGGTCGAAGAGCGGGAAGAGTGATGAAAATTGGGAAGTTGAAGTTGTTTAGGTTTTTTGATTGAGATGTGGTAGTGTAAATGTGTGATATTCCCGCCATAGTACATTTGTGAAATTTCGAATTTTTCGGTTTGTTTTTTTTTTCTTGTTACTTCTCCTTTTCTTCTTTTTGAAGAGGAGAGAAATGAGAAATGGAGTTGGGCCTTAGAAACACGTACATACAGACCTATGTACATCACTACATCGTATGTAGTATTAGACCATTACACATTTTGAGACTGATCAGTGGTCGATGGAGATGATAAATGATCATAAATTAAATCGGATTATTTAAAAAAAATGTAGAATGGTTCACAGTGAGCTTTTAGTTTCAAATCAAAATTATACACAAAATCAAGCTAAAAATTTGTTGTGATTTTTTCCATTCATTTCTACTTGAAGTTACTCCCTCTATTCCACTAACATGCTCATATTTGTTTACTGTTGTTCCATTGAGTTTGTCTCGTACTATTTTAAACGAAAAAGATAGACATAAAAGCTTAAAACAAAGACCAAAGTAAGAACTCGTCAAGCTAAACTTCAATTGAGTTTTAGAGAGCGAACCCTCTCCTATAGACAACCTTAGTGGGATCAAAGAAATACTTTATTGCTGTGCAAATAGAGCATATTCATGATTTGGGAAGATATATGTAGTTCATATAAGTTACAATTAGTTTTGATGATTTCAGATTTAAAAGGACAAGATGCTTGCTTAATTAAGCGACAAAACCGACATATGTGTCTTAATCTAAAATCTAAGCCTAATTTATACATACATGGATAAGAGACTGAGTTATTATCAAATTTCACACTTCATTTGTTAAACATTAAGACTGCTCTTACAAATTAATAATACAATTGAACACATTATTTGAAATTGTTGTGGACATTTTTCACAATCTCAAATTCTCAATCATTGACACGAGATAACATGAAGTAAATCACAAAAATATATTCGTTGGTACAATTGTATTTGTTGTTGCATTCAAAACGGCTTGTTGACTATAACTTGACAAGTAATTTAAAATTAAATGATTGTAAAAGATGAGATGAAAGAAGTGTTTGTGATATTTTTAAACATGAACGCACTTTTTTTTTTCAATGTGGCACATAAATTAGAGATAGGTCCAAAGATATACTTGTATAATTTAAAATTTCAAGTGAATATATAAGGAATTTTAGGCATGTAATTCGATAGGGTATAATTTCATTAGTTATGAATGCTGAGCTAAAAAATAGTAAAAAGTCTAAATTTTTTGTCTTTACTAAGGTAAAGTAAAAAGAGAAAAGTAAATTGAGATAAAGTCGAATTTGATAAACTAGTTGTTTAATTTAACCTATCGAATCATCGATCATAAGATTTAAGGTGTGTACCGTGTTTGTGCAAAGTAAACTAAAGAGAAGCAGAGATTAAGGGATAAGTTTTATGATCATTACCCAAGTGGTTAATGATCGATATATAATCTTTAGCTTACAATAAAATTTCAAAAAGAATGTGAATGACCCACACACTTCACACCTACAAATAGAAACTTACTGCTACGTGAGTAGATCGAATACAAACAAAAGGAGTGTGTAACTCATACTTTGTAGTTAAATGTTCCCTCAAACAACTCGTATTTTATTGGCCTTCAATTACCAAACAAAAAGAAAGTTGCATTATCAAAATTTGGTTTTGCTTTAAAGTTTTCTTTAATCTACTTCACGATTAACTATTTATTTTTTTTGAATTAATGCATGAATAATTAGATTAGATCAAACCAAATATCATGGTATGCGTTTGATTATTATTGTCAAATGTATTTAACATCTCATATTAGTAAAAACTTTAAATAACTTTCATACCAATTTAGTGTGTTCACTCATCAAGGTACATAAATTTAAAAATAAAGTAAGTTGGGGTTTGGTTTTATCAGTGATTCTAATAAAAATGTATAGTATGCACGATATTGTTCTATTTTATTTAAAGTAAATAAAAGGAGAGATAATGTCAATTCAAGGAGAGATAATTAGACTAAATTAGATCTTTTGAAATAAAGAAATAACTCTTATGGCATACGTTACGGTGTTGTTATGTCCAATATTTAATTTGTTTATTTATTTGCTTGTATAATTTCTAGAAGCATAACCTTCTTAAACACCACATATTATGAGTGTTTCATATTGAATAAAAAGAAGATAGAGTATGGGCCTATAATTCTCTTAAAACTATATGATTTTGGGATTAAACTTCCTTTGACCTTGTAAACTAGACTTTCTCCTAACGACGATTGCGAGCCTTTGCAGCTCAAATTGTTTCAAATTTTTCATTTTTTAAAAAATAATTTAAAAAGAGACTTGTGAAAACAATATACTCCTAGCTAAGTAAACGTGTCTTATAATGGAAATTGCAGCTATTGCAACCTCAAATAATCCTCAATCCCATTAGGAAAAAAGGGCAAAAGAGGGGTGGGGGGGATCACTTATTTTGTTTGCCTTCATTCAGATCCCCGTGATGTCTTTTTAATTAGATTGGACTTTTCTCAATGCATCACTATCTTATATCCACGAAAACTTGTACGTAGTACTTGTATACGATTTAATTTGGTATATGCAAAATGAAGTCAGATTAGTCATTTCAAGATTTATGAATATCACCCCTGACACCTCACCTCATGTTGCATAAGAATCTTCTTAAATGTTTATATTTATGTAGTTTATTTTCACTTATTTAAGGTCTTGTAAGTTCATATAAGATAAAAATTAAAGACAAATATGTTATCATAAGGGTTAGTCAAGTTCAAATTACAACTAAAGTATTTAATATGTAAATATCAGGTGAATTGAACACACCCTAAAAGTCTAAAACAGTAAAACCCCAAAACAGAGAATTTGCATTTAAGTTTAGCTTGAGAGATTTTGTGAAATTTGTATCAACATCTCATACATTGATCAATGTCTTAGTGTAAAATTTGTGGCGGATTTTTTATTTATTTATTTATTATTTTTTTTTTTTTTTGTGTGTTCTTATTGACTTATTGTTCTTCTTTAATATTTTCCACGTTATATAGGCCCTTGAGTGCCCTTGATCCTAACAAAAACAAATTCAATTCAAAGCCCAAGCCTTAGAAAAAATTACTGAGTGGTTGAATATTTAGCAAGTTAATAGGGAGTAAGTAATTAACTACCACCAAATATTCCATGATGGGCTATAAAGATTAATGCCGAAAGTAAGAAATTCTGGTCGAATTTATTTGACTTGAATTGCAATATTGAGAAATCTATTTGTGCCTAATTTTTTTTCTGTGCAATTGTGTAATTTGTGTTGTACTCCTGTATATTGGTTACCTTTATACGGATATATTTTGTTGTCCTAACTTCCACAAATCGAGTTCAAATTTAATTTGCTATGATTAATTTCTCTATACTTTGAGTCTCTATTTCATATTGTTTTCAACTTTTCATCCCCCACAAATTTAATCATAATTTACGAATTAAATCAGTTATCTTAAGAATATTATAGATATCTATTAAAGTCGATACATGAATAATATGTACCTAACGAACTACACTCTCCGCTCCTCAAAATTTATATTTATGATTCCTTTGATCCTAAGGAATTTCCAATAATGCCTCATATCCCCATATATTTGATTAGTGCTTTGCCGAGGAATTTCCAACAATACATGTCTCATATTCTTCCCATAGGTGATTGGTTTAGTGCTCTCAGAGTCATATTTCGAACCTATAAAGTAGTGCTAGTAAGTAGTTATCCACCCTCTAAAAATTATCATTTCTCTTATTAGCCATATAATTTTACTTAAGCTAGAGTTTGTTGATGGTGGAGTTTTGTTACGAAAAAAATTATACAAAACTTTGAAAATTGAGTATTCATTATTGTTTTTTCAATTGATGTGAGAAAAAATGAAAACAGTCTTATGACTTGTAGACTCTTTTGCATTGTATGACAATCAATCAAAAGAAACTTTTTACAATAATGAGATTATTATACCATCTGAGTCAAATTCATTTTAAAAAATATCGAAAGTTTTGTTGTGGGACAAGCGATAAAAAGATAAGTGAAACACAAAGTACGTATTTTATGATACGAAAATAGTGTATTATTATCATTTTTTTTTTTTTTTTTGAGAAAATAGCTTTAGTAACCTCAACTTATTAATACTTTGCTTGGCCATATGCCAATGTGAATAAAATCAATAAGTAATGTTTGTTGGTTACCCCCACAACTTTCATACTCTATTAGTTTAAGCATCTTTCTAGGTCCATCCATTCTATCAAGCCATATTTTTATATAGGGTTGAGGCTTTTGTCATACCGACCAATTTCCACCTAATGGACCATTCATATATACTGTTAAACTAAATTATCCAAGAAATTAATTTATTACTTTGTAGTACAAAACTCACTTATTTGGGTAAATGACAAATCTTGTAAGTGAAATGAATCCTTTGTATCAGATATACAATGGAGAGAGCATGCAATGTTTTAATTAAAAGGGTGTACCGAATTCTTTACTGACTTCATTTGACTTTTTAAGAGTTTTCTATAATTATACCGTTTTATATTTTTTGCAACTTTTGCCAAATTTGTCCGCTATATATTTTTTGCAACTTTCCAACATAAAGTTTTTTAAAGGAAATTACTAAAACACCCTTACTAAAATTTTCATAAAGTCAACTAATTACTTGATACAAAACTTAATAAAATACTCCATCAAAACTAATCTAACTTAATTAATTTAATTATTTCCTTCAAAAAAAAAATTAATTTAATTATTTCCATCAAAACTAATTCATCCCCCCCAACCAACACCATTTCAATCCACCGAACATCAATTCAACCCTCATTCATTTTTTCCAGAATTCAAACCCTTGAAGTTCTTCTTCAATTCCCTAGTTTCTTACTTTATCCTTCAATCTGACTCTCTCTCTCTTCCCACGAA